CATATTACTACAATAGCGAGTTGATACAGTATCCGCTACCTTACGAGCTTCAAGCTCCCGGGGACCACAAAGCAGGCTATGGAGAACCTCGTCTCTTGTGCTTGGCACATTCAGCACACTTGGCCTTGCGGCGGTCATGCGCATGTGGGCATCCCTTGGAATCATGATCCACTGCGCAGTAGGCGCAGTGAATGTCTCGCTTGCAATTCCAGGCTATTTGTCCGTACGGCAGCGGTAGCATTACTGGAGGCGGTGACTGCCGTCAAAGAACCGACAGTCGTGAGGTATTGACGGATTTGGCGGTTGCTGGGGTCTTTGTAGCTTGGGCGTCGATAGTGTGCTGCATTGTGGAGATCATACCGGAGTGCTTTCTGTCGTGCTCACTCAGCAGGGCGCGGAGGCGCCCTAGCTCCTGGAGCAACTCGCTGTCGCGCATCTGGTCGTCAGGGAGGACGCTGCTTTCAGGAATTCCGCGAACCGATCAATATGAGGAATCCCGCCTTCATCAGCGGCAGCTTTTCACTGCTGGGTGGCCTTCAGGAGTTTCTTTGCATGCGCTCGTATTTCTAGTTCCATGTGGTCGGAGTTTGGGTTGACCCACACGGATGACCGCCCATAGCGGCCACCACAAAGGCGGAATGCGGGCAAAATTTCGGTCAATTGATTCGTCCGTTTATAGAGAATTAGGTGAAGTAAGCCGCCAAGCGCCAAATCTGCTGTTTCTGCAGTTGGGATTTTGCAAAGAGTTTTGGCCACGTTGGGGAGAGCGGATATTTTGCATACACGGTGTGTGCGGCAATTTGGCATTATCCGCCGTGGACGACATTGGGGGAAGCTCTCGACCGGAAACTAGAGAGCTCAAGAAGTGTCCAATAGGGGTCGGCACGAATAACGAATATATTCGTATTCGTTACGAATATTCGCAATTCGCATTCGTATTCGCAGACATTTTGCACGACGAATGCGAATGCGAATAAATTTTCTATTCGCCGCGAATATTCGCAAGTTCGGTCACGTGGCAAAAGAATAACTAGTGAGCAGTCACAGCCCAAGTGACAAGACTTCACTTGATGTTCCGTGCCTTGCGAACAATGATCCACAGAGGCTTTATACTACTATGTCCTTCGAAGCAAAGCAGCGGCTGGTTGGGAATACCAGCAAGACGCTCTAGGATTTTTCACTGGGTGTTCTCTGAACTATATATATCTCTCAACAGCATCACTTTCCGCATTGTCTCACCTTTTAGAGAATGTCGACGTACTCCTAACAGATCCCTACCACGGCTAAACAACCTCTCTACTGCGACTTCAGCCGCCGGAATGGCAAGGTAATCCCTGGCTGCAGCTGCCATCCGCGGATACTCATCGTTGTGCGTCCTCCACCAGCCAAATAACCAATCTTCATCCTTTGTTACAGATTCATCAACAGTCACCACACCTTCCTCAAAGTAGCGGTCAATATCTGAACGCTGGATCACTTGTGGTTGCAGCTTCTGCAGAACACGAGCCTCCAGACTTTGCCGCTTGTTGTCCTGCTTAATCTTTGACGTTGATTGCTCCAGTGATGATTTCGATGGGTATTGCTCATGCAAGGTATCCTTGATGGATCGAATAACCTTTGGCGCCGTCACCTGCCCGAGCTCCTTATCCAACAAGAGGGTTTTGAAGCGTGGGTCAAGGACAAGAGCTATATAATAAGCATCTTGGGCGTCCATCAGTTCATAATATTTCTTGTATTTCTTCATCCCCGCGGAGATGGCGGAGGTAATGTCAGAGCTAAGCCCCGAAAAGTCGCCTTGTGCAGAAGCTGCATCTTCGAGCATGTCATTCAGTTCGTAATAGATGGGAATGGCTAGGCTGATCTGGGATTTCCGCCGGGAAACCAGTTGAGTGAACTCATCGAACTTGGAGAGGATCATTTCGAGCTGTTGCAGCTGCAACCAGTCGTCAGCTGAAAATGGCGGAAACTGGTTCTGATGCTCTATCCACATCCGGATCTGTGCTTTGGCTTGCAAGGCTCCCTGGACCATACGGTATGTGGAGTTCCAGCGGGTTTCCACGTCATACTCGATGAACTTGTCGTTCAAGCCATTTGCTTGGCAAGTCACTTTCCACTGCTGTCGTCGTTGAGGTGTCCTCAATATCCAGAGAGTCATGATCCGAATCCGGGCCAAGGCAGACTGCCGTCCGATTTTCTTATTTCCCTGTAAGAGATCACAGGCTTCAATGGCAGACTTGTGATCTCCAGATTTCATCCTCGAGAGGATGTCGCGGACAATGAGATTGAGGACATGTGCAAGACACCGGATGTAGCTGTCAATACCTTGAAATCGGAGACGTCCTTTATCGGGCAATTTGGAATCCTCCGAGTTGTACTTTTCCAACAGGTGAAAATACAGCTCAGACACCAGCGTTTCATTATTCGACGCATTATCAGCTGTGATTGTGAGCAGCTTCTCCTCAATCCGAAGCTCGACAAGCATCTTCTGCAGAGTCTCCGCCATATTTTCTCCACTGTGGGATCCAGCAAGTTCGCTGAACTCCAGGACTCGTTCTTGATATTTGAAGTCGGTGGACACCCAGTGACCGATAACTCCCAGAATGGCTTTATGGTTCTTGCTTGTCCAGACATCCAAGGAAAGCGCAATTGTGGAGCATGTCCGTGCTAGTTCATCGATCAACTGGATCCGACAGCGATCAAAATCTGCGTCAATGCGGCGGGCAACTGTTCGAGAAGAGAAAGGAAGAGGAGCGTCCGGCAAGTCCTTGAATATCTGTTGGAACGCAGGGGACTCAATTGCCGTAAATGCCACATCATCTGTCACAACCCATCGAAGTATGTTCTGTTCCAACAGAGCTCTAGTATCATGCTGGGCTCGGGACTGGAATATTGAAGCAATTGAGTGCTGTTTCGTCTCGCTGGAACCCTCGCCCAGGTCCTGTGGACCGGACTTTTCGAAAATGTTGTGTTTGGCTAGGTGCGTCTTCATGTTGGTCGTAGATGTTGCCCTTGCTGAATCTGTGGTTTTCCAGCCACAATGAATGCATTGAATCTCTCGATCCTCAAGCAGCTGTCGGCTTCGCCTGGGCCGCCATTGCTTGCCCGGAAGAGGACTAACTCGAAATTGATTCCAAAGCCATTGATTCAGTGGCTTAATGCGCGCTTTTCTGTGCGATTTGTATGGCCGTATGGCCTCTGTAAAGCATCTAGAGCTCCCTGGTGGAACAGATTCCGACGGAGTAGGTAGATTGAGATGCAGCTGGCTGGCGGAGTCTTCAGGACCAATCGATTCTAAGCGACCAGGTGGCGAATCCAGTCGGGGTTTCTTTCTGATATGATCTTCAATATCGTCTTCGTCACTTCCACCATTTAAGAAGTGGTAGTCTATTCTCTGAGACCGTTGGGGGCGTGGTGGCAATTCAGCAGATGAGCTGCCGGAGCCATCATTGTTTGAAGCTGGCAATTCAGCACCAGACATTCTGAGCTCTATTACCGTCATCGAAACACGTCCTTGAAATAAACTTGTCAGATTCGGACGCGACTTGTCACTTGGATAAACAAACTGCACGTGATATACTTTTTCCTATTGGGTGGGAGTTGGTTTTGGTGACGGGGCAATATTTGTACGAATATTCGTACGAATATTGGCCTTGCGAATACGAATATTCGTAGAGGTCTGTGATCTACGAATGCGAATGCGAATATCTCAAAATGTTACGAATATGTATTCGTGCCGACCCCTAGTGTCCAAAGGTTTATTTTTTTCCAATTAGCAGAATCCATTTTTTGGGTTTTCTCCTCTAACCCCAACGGGGTTTGTTGAAATATCCCGGTTGCTGAGATAATGAGGCTGGGATCACGTGCATACATATATACCTATTCACCAGCCTACTTGTATCTTAGACAACATGCAACACAACACACAATCAACTCCCCTCAATAACATGAACACTGAAGCATCACTTATAATCAACAGATCAAGCTACTTCTAAAAGAGCAATTCCCCATGTGAACCAATGATCAAAGGCTATAGACAGGCATGGACTCTCTCGTTCATACACAGTCCCCAAGCCCGAACCACATTGGCTTTCTATTGCAATATTGTGGAGTAAAGCTCAATATGCTCCCACCTTCTGTCTGCCAATGCCTGTTGGAAAGATGGATTGATCTGATTGCCCCACTAGAAAGTTTGAGTGGTGAATTGCCGTACTGGTGGCCGCCAGAAATCCAATATAGAAGACCCTTCAATCTACCTAAATCTGGTATGTATCTGCAATCGAGTGAGATGGTTTTAAGTTAATGAAGAGAAGTTCTTGTGAAGCTTTTGCAGCATCTGTTATGTGGGATTGATTACGACAGGGTATCCATCAAGAGACTTGATATGGAGACACGAGATATGCCAGCCATCAGGGAGTCAGAATTATATCGGAATATTTTGATGGATATTTTCGTTGCTATAACCAGCAGTATCTCCTCGGTCTTGCGTTTCAGACAGCAATACCGAACACATGTGCAGGTGAGCCTCTTGAATATCCACTGCTGAAGTATCGAACTGCTGGATGACAAGATGATGACAGCCTAGGTCTTAGACGACATCAGAACGGAACCATGTGACGCAAGCCGGATGGCGATTGGGAACTATCTTCCATTCATGCGTAAAAAGAACAAAGTAAATTGGCATGAGTCAATACATTGCTTTTGTACGTACTGTATCGTGCGACGGGTTCCCAGGATCGTGGCACGAGTTCCTATCGACCTGTAGTTGACCTCTAGGAGCTTACGTCGGACTCTCGGGACCTTCAATTTCCCTTCGGACAGGGATTTTATCCGGAGCAGCAGCTTACATATAATACCTATGGAGCAAATGGTAAACTCATTGGACTATTTGAACTATATTTTGAAGGGGATGGAAGCTATTCCAATGTTGACGGGACGAATTCAACTTATATTACACAAAGATAGCCAAGTGGACATCACGCACAAAATTTGGATTCATAAAGTCAGTTTAATATCCAGTTCAGCTGGCCGGCAGAATCTTGGCCGGAGCCTTGACTTTGAAGGTTGCGCATGTCGTTGGAAATGGGTATATCTTGGGGTGAGTAAGGTGAATTCGGCGCCGAGTATTTGGGCTCAGTGTTATGCCCATGCGTTTGGGAGGCTTCTGGTCTGTCGCCTACCCCATCGTCTCCATATTGCATAATCCCGATGGAATTTGGTTGTTGATCATTCTTGGCCGGCTTCCCTGAGTGCGGAGGGAAGTTGACCTTCAGCACCAAGGGGCTCGATCGGCTCGATCGGCTCAATTTCGAAGGTTTTTCCGGCATTCCACACTCTACTTGGATTCCCATTCGCTTAGCCTGCTGCCTTAGAGAATTAACACTAAGCCGATTCCCCGTGGTCTTCCAGTAATCGTCTGCTATCCTTGGCCAGGACATATGACATCGGCCACGCATAAAGTCCGCATATGCTGTTTTCTCTGCCCTGGTCCAGCGGTGGCGAGGCTGTGAGGGAAGCACGCCTGGCCCCCCGGTGTTTGTGCAAATGGTTACTCTTTCAGATGCAGCAGGGGCTCCGTGCGGCGTGATTTGCTGAGTTTGCACTAGTCGGGTATCAGGTGGGGGAGTTTGTGGTCCATCAATTGGCAAGGTGCAATTCTCTTCACCCCCGAATTCCCAACTGAAGATCCGAGAGATGAAAGCCGTGAAGACATGATCGGCCCCTGGCCAACAGGCTCAGGGGGGGAGGGTGCGATTCCGGTCGAATCCGAGAGATTGCTGCTATAATCTTTGAGTTGTTTCACGACGTGTTGGATCTTCGCAAATGCTAATGGGATTTAGCCGCTTGGTACATAATCTTTCACGATAGCTGTGGCATCTCACCTTGTATCATATCTTTACCCAGCTCAGACATGTCGCCTAGCAGGGCAGTAATAGTCTCCTGCTCTGCTTTCAGATCCTCAGGGAGGGGCCCCGAGCAGAATATCTTCCGAAAAACAGGAGAGCAAACTGCTTCCCGGTCATGTTTTTTCATTTCTATTGTCAGACCTTGCGTACGGTAATGAAACATCTCATTGCCATGGGGTTCGAACTGGCCAGGTCTTGCGTCCCGAATGAGATCTACCCAGCCCGGAGTAACTCCATAGTCATTCATCGGACCATTTGTCTCAACGATACGTGGGCAAGGGCTGCTGAAGGAGCCGCCAATGATGTCTTCCAATCTGCTGCCGAGTAGAGGTACGTTCAGGTGCCTCGCGATACCCTTTCCTTCATCGATAGCGGTTGAGTATGAGTCCAAGGACGCAAGAATTGACTCGATTTTGGCGCGTAAATCAGGAATTTTTGCAATTGACCGGGGTTATGACGGACAAACAAGTCCAATTCGGAACCACGTTGGTCTTGAACCGATAGAGGAGGTTCCGGGGCGTCGGGGCTTTCTTCCATGTTTCGACGGTCAGAATCCTACGTTTGGCATCAAAAGGTTCAAAACGCCCGATAAATATTGCTGAACAGATGTCCAGATTGACCTCGTGGAGAACGAGGGCAAATCTTCATTGTCATCTTAATTTGTCCTAGACCGGGTTGTCGGGTTGGAACGACGTTCGCTTGCGGGTTGCGAGGGAGCAAAGCCAATGATATGTGGTGTTTGTTGGTTGTAGGGAGCGCCGTTGGTGATGGATTTGATTAGCGCGCAAGAGGCTTGGTTAGCTCTTCCACTAATGCAAGCACATTGAAGCTAGTTTGATGCGAGACTTCCGGCTCGGGAAATGTGACGCGGCTAGCCGCATCGGAAGTATCGGCAATCTTCTTTGCCTCAGAGACCCGAAGGAGCCAAGACTAACAGAAGTGCGAATGACGATGGGGCATGGGTATTGACGTTGATCCAGATTGGCCGGGCCTTGGTCCGTGCACGGTGGAACGCCCTTGATGTTTACCCCTGAGTTTCAGTGGCTCTGTTTTCGGCCCCATTTGCCTTCATTGAGTTGGGGACGTTGAAGGCAACACCGCGCAGATGGAAGCATGCCATGGGTATGGGCCGAGTAGCTTGACTACGCAAGTATCTAGGTGGGAAATCAAGAAGGTGAACCATTTTGGAGATACTTTCTACGAGCATAGGGAGCTGCTCAAGGCTATGAGCAGGGAGCTTTTTACTTTCAAATTTCTGTAATATGATCGACGATCCATGGCTCCAACGTGGGGGCCAAAGTTAGCCAGGCCCGGCCAATCTTTAGGCGCTGACGGTGATCGACATGGTCTGGATCTGCCGCAGCACGGCCATATTCGTACAACAGTTTCAGGATTTGTGGAAACTAGCCAAAGGCATTGAGAAGCTCGTACCATCCGCACTATACGATGCGCCATATCGGCAGGAAGTAAAGGCGAATTTTGGGGTTGTCCATTGGGATGCAGATGTACTGTAGACCACGTGGACATCAATAGCCTCACAGAGATCCAGCAAACAAAACAATCTTGCTTCATTTGAAGTCTTAGACTCCTAAATTTCATCAAAATTTGCCAAGCCCTCACAAAGAAAAGAGCCCTGGCGAGAGGACGCTCCAGGTTTTGGCACGAAACCGGATACTGAAATCCACACGCAAGAAATTGTCGTACCATACAGACAGAGCTCAAGCAATGCTGTCACTCCTTGTCACTCACTGTTCTGGCAAGAACGGCGAAGGTAGCTATAGGGTCTAGAAATGTGAGGGCTGCTACAAGACAAGATTGGGTCCCCCACTGGGGTATTGACAAGAACGAATTTGGTTCTCAGAGTAATCTCTGTAAAGTTGAGTTAGGACGTGCGATTGCTTACTCTTTTGATTCCATAACATGGTCCATGTACACCTTATCATTGCCTAGATATCTTGTATCTTCTTTGTGTCCGCACTTCCATTCTCGTGGAAGAGGTAATTAACGTTAAAAGATCTAGAAGTTTTAGGATTCCCTGATTAAATAATCCTGGAGCCTTCTTCTCTCACTTGCTCGGATGCGGAAACCTGCCGCAGACCAGCGAATGGCATTTTGCCCACAGCTCATCCGTCTAATATTTCGTTCTCTCCAAAAATATTCAGTGTCAGTGAACGCATCTTCGGAAAGGCCGTGAAGCTAAGAGACCGTCTGAAGGTTGGCTTTGTAGTGAGGGTAGTTATTCGTACTCTTGTTCAATATATCCAGATAAATGAATAATAAGCTGAGGATGAGGCGGAGTGCTACTCACTTAAGGTCGAAGCAGTATGTTCGGGAATTTTCAATGTTATTGGGCAATCTGCCGCTTGGTGCTCCTTGCTCAGTTCCTAACCGGTTGTTATTAGCCGTTGGTTCTTACAGTAGCTACTAAGAACGAGGAGCTTCTCAATCATATAACCGCTCCTCATCCGCAGCAACACCCTCGGGCACTTGTCTTCTGGTTCAGTCTTCGAAGAAAAACAATCCAATGCACCATTTGTCTGTATCCTTTCCCTCGCAATGATGTCTTCGTAACTGCTCAGTAGCAAATGCGCGGCGAGGTACACCTTGGCCCATTCCTGGAGAAAATGGCGTCGGAAGCTGAGATGTGGTCAGATACCGCTTGTAAGTATTCAATCGTATCGTTTATCATGGTCGTACTGATTGCTGTAACACTTCGAGGTCTCTATTGCTGCATGTCTCTTGTCACCAGTTTTCGTTAGAGGGTTGAGGATTCGGCTGCTCTCTTTTCCCCTTCCAGTGAGGGTAGATCTTGGTTTCCTGCCTCCATGCCGCTTTGAGGCGATTTAGAGTCTCTTGAGCTAGCAAGAAAGGTATCAACAGAGGTGGCTACAGTCGTAGCTACAGAGTCAGGCAGGGACCGATCAACGGACGGTTGCGAAATCTGGTTTGCGTTGCTGCGATCTCCGGGGATGAATTGGCCGACGGCCTGACGGAAGTTTTCACCCGATTCTTTGCCTCCATGAAACAGGCTTGTTAGCCTATGGATTCCTCCAGAAAGGGATCCGGAAGGATGGTACCAGCTTGCCATGTATGTCCGTTTTGAACTTCTGTGTCTGGGGTAAGGGGCCTGTTTGATATCCGTGGCCGCTTTTAGTCCATGGTTGCTTGGCTCTCCTAATTAGTATTGTAATGACAAGATCTTGTAGGGGAAAGAAAAATTGAGAGAATCGATCGCAAGACAATTATGAACCTTTTTTTTCTTTTTCTTTTTTTTTTTTGTTGTGGGCTGAAGCGGTCATGTCAGCGTTTGAATGCATATTTACAATTATCTTTTTCGTGAGTCAGCCTTATTGGCACCGGCTCCTAGGAGCACTGTGGATGTCAATATTGCCTCAAACGCGGTATAAAGGTAAGAGACCTCAGCAGATTAGCAACATTCTCGCAGTGGCTGTGTCTCTCCACTAGCCATGAGCCTACATCGCTTCTCACTTGGAACGTTACGTCAGGTATCATCTCCTGCTATCCTGGAGCCTGATCCTCCTTTCGCATATTTGCTTGGATTTCTGCTGAATATTTATGACAGGGAGTTGAAAAGCTCCACCATCGCTTCATTTCCATACCGAGCTGCCCATAATAGTGGTGTCCGACCATTATTGTCCATCGAGTCCACCTCCACATCATCTCGCTCAACCAGTAGCTTCACCACCGCTTCAAGTCCATACTCAGCTGCAAAAGAAAGTGACCCAGCCGCATAAGACAGTGGTGTTCGACCGTACTTATTCTTCGAGTCTGCCTCCACATCATCTCGCTCAACCAGTAGCTTCACCACCACTTCATGTCCACCCCCAGCTGCAAATGATAGTGGTGTCCGGCCATCATTATTCTTCGAGTCTGCCTCCACATCATCTCGCTCAACCAGTAGCTTCACCGCCGCTTCATGTCCACCCCAAGCTGCGTACGATAGCGGTGTCCGACCCTCATTATCCTTCCAGTCCGCCTCCACATCATCTCGCCACAGTAGCAGTTTCACCACCGCTTCATATCCATTCAAAGCAGCACACGACAGTGGTGTCTGACCGCACTTATCCTTGGAGTCCGCCTCCACATCATCTCGCTCAACCAGTAGCTTCACCACTTCTTCATTTCCACACTCAGCTGCCCATAATAGCGGTGTCCGATCATTATTGTCCATCGAGTCCACCTTCACATCATCTCGCTCAACCAGTAGCTTCACCACCGCTTCACGTTTATACTCGGTTGCAAAAGACAGCGACCCAGCCGCATAAGACAGTGGTGTCCGACCGTACTTATTCTTTGAGTCTGCCTCCACATCATGTCGCTCAACCAGTAGCTTCACCACCGCTTCATGTCCACCCCCGGCTGCAAATGATAGTGGTGTCCGGCCATCAATATTCTTCGAGTCCGCCTCCACATCGTCTCGCTCGAGAAGCAGTTTCACCACCACTTCACGTCCATCCCAAGCTGCGTACGATAGCGGTGTTCGACCCTCATTATCCTTCGAGTCCGCGTCAATATCGTCTCGCTCCAGAAGCAGCTTCACCACTGCTTCATTTCCATACCGAGCTGCCCGTAATAGTAGCGTCCGGCCATTATTATCCTTCGAGTCCGCCTCCACATCATCTCGTTCAACCAGTAGCTTCACCAATTCTTCATGTCCACACAGAGCTGCGTACCACAACGGTGTCAAACCACCATTATCCTTCGAGTCCGCCTCCACATCATCTCGCTCCAGAAGTAGCTTCACCACCGCTTCATATCCATTCAAAGCAGCACATGACAGTGGTGTCCGACCGTACTTATCCTTCGAGTCCGCCTCCACATCGTCTCGCTCTAGTAGCATCTTCACCACTTCCTTATGTCCACACTCAGCTGCGTGAAAAAGTGGCGTTTGACCATTCTTGTTCTTCGAGTCCGCCTCCACATCGTCTCGTTCCAGAAGCAGCTTCACCACCGCTTCACGTCCATACAGAGCTGCGAGAGACAGTGGAGTTTGACCGTTCTTGTTCTTCGGGTCCACTTGAGTACTACTTTTCGCTAATAGCAGCTCTTTCAGTCTGCCCTCAGCTTCTTCTGCGAGAAGGTGCAAGATTGTATTTCCTTCTTCATCCTGAACAGAAGTGTGTCGGAACGTCAAGACTCGGGCGAGGTCAGGAACGGCTCGTAATAGTGATAATTGGTCACGAGGGTTGAGACTCTCCGCCGTGAGGAGAATGATCTCTCTCGGGAGATAAGCACGATCTTTTGGCGTTCTCATCGTCTAGCGAGAGATACAGAAAGAATATAAAAACCCACAGCAGTCTGGTCTTCTTCTTGCCAGGCTTAGAGACGTCGTTAACCTTGAGCGCTGTTTGGGGAAGAATGTGGTTGTTAGCAGAGGCTCGGGGCATTCCATTTTGTTATATGGTTGTATTCCTGCTCATCCCAGATATCTCCTCCATTCCACTTTCTCAGGATCATAAATACGGAGAAACTTGGAGGTGATAACGTACTTAGGGGCGGGATCTGCTTGAACTTGT